ATGAAAAGGATGCTGACCTCGCTGACGTGCAACGACAGCTGGCTTTCCTTGCAGCTCCCAGATCGAATAAATTTCGTAATTGTATTTTTTGCCCTTTACCAATGGATAATTCAGATATCCACCGATCACTGACCCGTCACCAATTCGTACTTTTCTTGGACCGGGTAAGGTATCGGCACTGAATGACGCAGCCACGTAGTACGGAATTTTTTGCTTATTCGCAGTAACCTTATCAGTTAGCTCCGTCCAGTTTGTTGCTCCTGCTGGTTCACGCTCATCAACGACAACATAGTAACGCCTGTAAATAATCTCTAATGTTTCAGGCTCTTGTTGCTTGGATTTTCATATTTTTCCCTTTGCTAAGAAATACGGGAGTCTCTAAAAAACCAGTAACTTGTAGACTCAGAAGTGTATTTTTAACAAAAGTCGTGAAATACAGCTTTCTCTAAGTTGTTATGAAACTGTTTCTATGGCGTGAATTGATTGACACGACGGATATTATTGTAACACAAACTCAGGAATCAGAATTTTTCTCTGCAAGAAGCTGAGGCATTCAGAAGTACTTTGTTGCATGAAAAAATTTCGTCAGAAAAGGACACTGTCACTTCATTGGTCATCGTATATATGTGGAAGAAATTCGTGGAAATAAAATGACCATTCAACTGACTTCTAAAAAGTAAGTCCTAGCAATATCAGAAACTCAGGAAGAGGTAACACATATGAGCAGTCTTTAAAAAAGTGCACCCTTATAAACGTGCACACACATCTCGATATCAGGAATTCTGTGATGCTAATACCTATTAGTACGAAAGACATTTAGTGCTAAACAAATGCCTTAGCTGATAAGTATTTGCAGAGTTTTCCTATTAGTGTAAATTTCTTGAAATTTATAATTAACTAACGAGATGTTCTGCGGTTGTGTTTGCACTGGTGCAATGTCCACTTCCCAAAATGTCCCAGGCGCACCGATATTTTCAACCATATAAGGAGGTGGAACGATGCAACATGCCTTCTTGCGTTCAGGCTTCTCGAAGACGCTTGGTTTTCCAGCTGTTCTCCAGTGGTTCCACTCACCGTTCACCTAGATTTTTGAATCTATTATAATTTTCAGAAAAACTTTTTATTGAGATATCAATTTGGAAAAAAAGCGCGTGCATCTAGGATTATACCAAAGGTTTATAACGCAAAGAAGGAGCGGCTGCAAATTAATCTCCATTTTTTTCCCTCAAAGACCGCATTTTCAATATTAATATTTTTGGATTTTTTTTTGTCGAGTTTGCGTAAAAAATTGAAATTCCCAAGTTGGTGTCTTTTCACTACGAAAATGGCACTCACTATAAAATTATTTGCGAACGCACATGTTCATAAGTAGTGATAGCTGTTCTTGTCACAGTATTCTATAAAATACGATTCACCTTAATTCCCAGTTCTCAAAAAAAGAAATCCTAGCGATATAAACTATAAAACACAGAAGCAACGGTGAGTAACTAAGAATAAGATATAACCAAAAAAGCCTGAAAACACCAATTTTTTGGTGGATAAAGCAATTTTGGAAAAAAAAAAGATAAAGAAAAAAGAGAGAATGCAATTTTCGGATTGCTTCAAACAAAGATATATAGCTAACTATTCAAAGCAATGGTTCACGGCAACCTAAGGCTGAAAAGTGCATAAAATTGTGCACGAAAAATAATGCC